GACTAGTGACAGAGTGAGGGAGGGTGTCACCACCTCCTTCACTCTGTCACTGTGTCACCCCCTTCCTCACTCTGTCACTAATCACCCTCTCTCTCACTCTGTCACTAGTCACCCCCTCCCTCACTCTGTCACTAGATTGAGGGGGTGACTAGTGACAGAGTGAGGGGGTGACAGAGTGAGGGAAGGGGATGACTGGTGACAGAGTGAGGGAGGGGATGACTGGTGACAGAGTGAGGGAGGGGGTGACTAGTGACAGAAGAAGGGAGGGAGTAGTGACAGAAGGAGGGAGTAGTGACAGAGGGAGGTGGTGACTAGTGACAGAGTGAGGGAGGTGGTGACTAGTAACAGTCACCACCTCCCTCACTCTGTCACTAGTCACCCCTTCCTTCCCTCACTCTGCCACTAGTCACCCCTTCCCTCACTCTGTCACTAGTAACCCCCTCACACTAGTGACAGAGTGAGGGAGTGACAGAGAGAGGGAAGGGGGTGACTAGTGACAGAGTGAGGGAGGGGGTGACTGTCACTAGTCACCCCATCCCTCTCTCTCACTAATTACTCCCTCCTAACTCTGTCACTGTGTCACCCCCTCCCTCACTCTGTCACTAATCACCCCTCTGTCCCTAGTGACAGAGTGAGAGAGGGGGTGACTAGTGACAGAGTGAGAGAGGGGGTGACTAGTGACAGAGTGAGGAAGGGGGTGACTAGTGACATAGTGAGAGAGGGGGTGACTAGTGACAGAGTGAGGGAGGGGGTGACTAGTGACAGAGAGAGGGAGGGGGTGACTAGTGACACGAAGGGTGTGACTAGTGACAGAGTGAGGGAGGGGGTGACTAGTGACAGAGTGAGGGAGGGGAGGGGGTGACTAGTGACAGTCACCACCTCCTTCACTCTGTCACTAGTCACCCCCTCCCTCACTCTGTCACTAGTCACCCTCTCTCTCACTCTGTCACTAGTCACACCCTCCCTCACTCTGTCACTAGAGTGAGGGGGTGACAGAGTGAGGGAAGGGGATGACTGGTGACAGAGTGAGGGAGGGCGTGACTAGTGACAGAAGGAGGGAGGGAGTAGTGACAGAGGGAGGTGGTGACTAGTAACAGTCACCACCTCCCTCACTCTGTCACTAGTCACCCCTTCCTTCCCTCACTCTGCCACTAGTCACCCCTTCCCTCACTCTGTCACTAGTAACCCCCTCACACTAGTGATAGAGTGAGGGAGTGACAGAGAGAGGGAAGGGGGTGACTAGTGACAGAGTGAGGGAGGGGGTGACTGTCACTAGTCACCCCATCCCTCTCTCTGTCACTAATCACTCCCTCCTAACTCTGTCACTGTGTCACCCCCTCCCTCACTCTGTCACTAATCACCCCTCTGTCCTTAGTGACAGAGTGAGAGAGGGGGTGACTAGTGACAGAGTGAGGAAGGGGGTGACATAGTGAGGGAGGGGGTGACTAGTGACATAGTGAGAGAGGGGGTGACTAGTGACATAGTGAGAGAGGGGGTAACTAGTGACAGAGTGAGGGACGGGGTGACACAGTGACAGAGTTAGGGAGGGAGTGACTAGTGACAGAGAGAGGGATGGGGTGACTAGTGACAGTCACCCCCTCTCTCACTCTGTCACTAGTCACACTCTCTCTCACTCTGTCACCAGTCATCCCTTCCTTCCTTCACAATGACAGAGTTAGGGAGGGAGTGACTAGTGACAGAGAGAGGGATGGGGTGACTAGTGACAGAGAGAAGGATGGGGTGACTAGTGACAGAGTGAGGAAGGGGGTGACTAGGGAGAGAGGGGGTGATTAGTGACAGAGTGAGGGAGGGGGTGACTAGTGACAGAGGGAGGGGGTAACACAGTGACAGAGTAAGGGGGTGACTAGTGACAGAGTGAGGGAGCGGGTGACACAGTGACAGAGTTAGGGAGGGAGTAACTAGTGACAGAGAGAGGGATGGGGTGACTAGTGACAGTCACCCCCTCTCCTCACTCTGTCACTAGTCACCCCTTCCCTCCCTCACTCTGCCACTAGTCACCCATTCCCTCACTCTGTCACTAGTCACTAGTCTCCCCCTCTCCTTCCCTCTGTCACTAGTCACCCACTCCCTCACTCTGTCACCAGTCACCCCCACTCACTGTGTCTCCCCCTCACTCTGCCACCACTCAACCCCTCCCTCCCTCACTCTGCCACCAGGTACCCCCTCACTCTGCCACCTGTCACAACCTCCCACACTCTTCCACCTGTCACCTTCTCCCTCACACACTCTGTCACCTGTCACATATGCATTCACACAGACACTATATACAAAAAAGCACATGTAGTCATCCAGACATGCACAAGTGCATTCACACAGACTCAAATACAAACATGCATTGATACACAGGTCTTCACAATACACACATCCAAAGGAATGCCGTATTATGAATTATATTTAACATTTATTAAAATGCACATATATTTGGCCTTCAAAGGGCCTGGGATCTAATTTTGCCCGGGGGCCCCAAAGGCTCTCAGTCCGCCCCTGCAGGTACCCCCAGTGATTGAAATAGTTGTACTGCCTTGTTTGGACTGTGTTGGGGGGAAAACATCATCCTCTATGAACAGAAAATCTGCCAGGTAATGGATGACGTTTTGGCACCTGCTTGTATTTAAGAGCAGCCAACACAAGGTCTCCGCAAAAGTGTCAAAAATCTTTGGGCTACTCTTTAAGCCGAAGGTAAGCCTTGTAAAAAAAATAGTAGAGACCCTTCCACTTAATGCCATGTGGGTGCCATAACGACGAGTGAATGTGTAGTAATTAAAATGCATTCGCAATGTCAGGGCCCCTGTTGCTAAGCCAGGGCCCCTGTGCGCGCAGATATGATAGTGGTTACTGCATCGTCGATGGTAGCGTACTGTAGTGAGACTTCTTCAGAGGGGATCAGAGAATTAAGACTAGGAACTACTGAAGAACGTGGCGCAGAGAGATCTATAATTAATCTCTGCTTGTTTGTGTTTTTTCCCGTGACCAACCCAATAGGGTTAGTCCTCCAGTTAGAGAAAGGGGATTCTGTGAATGGCCCTAGTACAAACCCTTACTCTTGTTCGTTCAATAGCAATGCCTCTACTGCTTACTGGCCAAGGCCGACTGTAGATTATTAAACTCCCAAGTCCCTCCTGGCAACCCTTGGGAAAAAACCTGTTATTAAATACTCCACCAGATGCTTAGATGGGTGCTTGGACAGTAGCTTTGCAATAGCGTCAATATTTACAGATGTTAGTGTTACGGTTAGCTGAAAGTTGGACCGTAGAAAGGATGCTCCTAGCGCTCACCAAATGACCATCAGCACCGTAGACACCATAAGAACTACAGACTCCACAAACTGCCTCTGCTGGATTGGGGATCTGCCATCTGCAATCCACCCTGGACCTATGACCAGGTTCCAGTGGGTGATATCTCTTCCTTCTGTAGAGCGAAGCAGGATCAGGAACAAGAGCTCTTACAAGAGCGCAGTCGCTAAGGGAGTATGAAGAGCATAGCAATCCCTGAAGTAATTATAGCTGTCCCCTCCAAACACGAGTCCAAGCTGCGAGTTGAGGGTCAAGAAGATCTGTTTAATAAGCACCAAGGGACTTTATTTTATGCCAGATTTTCCACAAGGTTACCACCTGTAACAAAACCCTGCCATGTGCCTGGGAATGTTCCCTATTACCGGCCCTTTAAGAAGTAGCCAGGGACATATACGGGAACAGAGACCTCGGATTAAAAGTGTATATATTTTTCTTCAGTAAAGGACATCAAGCTGTCTACAAGCTGGAGGTTTTTAGTTACTTTCGGCAGGGTTTTCTACAAAGCTTTTCGGGACTTTTTAAAGCATTCGTGCAATTGTGGCATCTAACACTGTATGAACACTGCATTCATCATTAATGAACCGAATGGGATGATTTTTAAATATGTTGTTCCCCCAGAGTAGGGCTATCTGGGGTACATCCAAAACTTGTGGAAAAATTTTACTTTGTTAATTGTGTTACAGGCTTATCTGAGGGGAGAATATGTGTGGGTTGTACCTTTTGTTTTATTGGTTATTGTGTTAATTATGTGGGTGTCTCCCTTGCATGGGCAGCATCACATAAAAGGAGAGTATCTGCCATTAAAATTCAGTTCTTCTTGACCCTTCAAAATGTAGCCTTGTCTCGTTCTTGAAAGGGGATATGCAGCTTAATCACCTAGCTCTTTTAAGAGCTCTGCCTGACTTTCCTTGGATCCAGTGAATGGGAATAAGCAACTCCACCACTACACAGCGACTTGCCAGGGAAAATGGACATCTCCAACAGTTGATACCCTCTTGCTAACTGGGTAGCCATTACACCACCCACATGGTCTTGTGGAACAGTTAATCAAACACAAAAACAATACAGTCAGACACTCCCAGCTATGATACACAAACCCTCCCCTCTGCCTATGATATAATTACTGTACACAATGGGTTAAGTTAATTATCACAGGCAGGACAATATACAGTTTCATACAATATTCATAACTCCTAAAATATACATGCCATTCACATAAAAGTCATATATTCTGAATCAGCATAATCCATGTACAAATATACTAAAAAATCATACAGTATGGTCCAGTGGTTTAAAAGTTAAGTGGAAGTCCTATTTGACCGATGGCAAGCATGGCTTTCCTGCCCAAAAGAGTTCCATAGATTTGGGCCGTGCAGTCGGTCTATTTTACACAGAAAAATGACTAAGTCCCATTCGAATACACGAACGGAGGTTGTTTGTGCAAATAGCCCAGTATAACAGGGCGTTCGAATCATCGAACGCACTTCGATTTCCTTCGAATGGTTGAAGTGGAAAAGAAGCTAAGGGTCAGTGGTGTTCGTGACGTTGTGTAGCCGATTTCAGTTCCATGAATTTGACTGCACACACTGATGACCGCGTTCAACTAAATAAAGATGGCCCGCCGCCACGTGTTCGACTCGCGAAAGGTGGCGAGGTAAATAGGCTGCACACTTCCACTGGTGTGTAGTCCGCCTGTTTGGTAGTTGGTTCGGTAAGCCCCATTTACCGAAACCTATGGGAAAAAGATATGCACAAAGTATTTTTACAGTCTGGGGACACAGTCTTAAAGGGGCTGTGACAGACCTCTCTGTCTTTTGAATTACTTTTATTTCCCCTTGGTTCGTTTGTCTGTTAGGCTATTTCCCTGTCCGTACATTCCCTATGCTTTTTTCCCCTTTTTACTGAAAGAACTGCCGAACGATCTGCCACACAGCATGGAAGTGTGCTGCTTGTTAACTTCTTGGCCTCATTAGAACGTTGTGGTTAACCACAGACACTTCCTAATTGTCGAATGTCGGCTGTATGTATGAACAAACATGTGGTGGCGGCCATCTTGGACATACGAATGCCCAGCAGTGTTTGTCGATGATTCCATGGAACTAAAAATGGACACTATTTTCACATGAACACCACTGAAGCCGCTGACCTCCCTTCTTCTGTTCTTCCGTTTATACAAACGCCGTACCATTAGGTACTTTTCCATATGAACAGAGTCACCCCAGATAGCTATCCCATGGAGCCAATTCGTATAATATAAGACTATGTGAAAGACTTTGACTCCATGGCAATTGAACTGTATTTATGTGATCTGAGCGCTATTCGGTAATATTGTGCGCTCAGATTTAAGCTATCTGTGGATACGTTGCATATGGGGGTTACATTCAGTAGTTTGTGAATTATAGATTTTTGTGTAAATTTCTCTGTACTTGTAAAATGGAGTTTATTCTCTATCCTTGGAGATAATTGAGTTACTTCCCCATTATCTCCAGGATAGAGAGGAGAGTCCCATCTTGTTCCAAGGGGAGTGTTTATATCTGCACTGTGGTGATTGGTTAATGTTGTAACCGTGGGTGGTTCCCTTATTTACCACTATAATGTCTTAAAGCATAGAACTTAGTAGGGCTAACCATACAGATATCTTAGCCATAATTTTATATAGTGTAAGAGATCCTCTATTTAACGTATATAAATAATTGAGAATACAATATAAAATAAGGATTGTCTTGGAAGCAATCGTTTTGTCTTTTTGGATATTTATTATATAAAAATATAAAATCCATTATAGCAGAGTTTATAAGATTAAATTACATGCTTGCAAATATCATTAATAGGTTAACATACCCTTCTGAACATGTCATTATGTCAGCCTCTCTGTCATTTTAAGATGGAGCAGCGTCTGTCTCCAAGTCTCTCCTCTGTGTCTTAACATTTAAAAGTACACCTATTCATACCTTAGGTGTCCTCATTTTAGGTTACTGTAGTTCAAATATGAAAAAGTAACACTTCTTTTACTTTATTCAATTTAGGACCTCCCTTAACTTGGCAAACATACAAGGCCATAACTAAAGGGTGTATACGTCACGGAAATTTTCCTGACTTAGTTCAAGATGGCATCTTAAAGTCTGAATATGTTATCTGTTGTTTATACTAAGTCGTAAGTGTACAGTCGTGGGAGATTCCCGGATTTGGGGAAGTTCCATTAACTTGGGGTTACCACAGTATATTGTGTACTGCAAGAGTCGTAGCATAGCCTTGAAGCTTGTTTATGCATTATTGTTATTGTAATTCGTCTGGGACAAAATGGCGCAAACATATTATGCACTGAGGTTATTGCTTAAAGAAACAGTTATGAAAAACAATATGTTCCATTTCTAACACCTTGTCAGTTTGCAATATCTCTTAAAGACAAAGTACACAGTTTAAGAAATACAACATTTCTTTCCAAAACTTGTAATATTTGCATTTGCCCATAACAATGTAACATTCTGTCACAGTTTTCCACCAGGTCCTCTATGGGAGTGTCCACCTGGTGGGAGACCTGCATAAAAGGCGGCCTTGTAGCCCAGATTAAACCGATTCCTGCTTGACCCTCAATACAGAGCCTCGTCTCATACTTGGGGCGATTATTAGTATACTTTCTTGTTCGGCTGTTTGGAGTGTGGATGATTCGTATACTTTCTGTTCGGCTGGTTGGAGTGTTCAGTAGCTGCCTTTACATTCGGGAAGGGAATATCCTAAATGGCTTTAACCCCTTCTATACTCCGGGTGCCATTACAGGGGCATTGTCACAAAAAGTCTTAATATGCCCATAGACTGTTTGTAAAGGGCCATACACCCCAGCCTCATGAGGCAGGAAGGTGGCAATCAGGCTTCTCCATAAGCCAGAGACAAAGAGCAGTTTGTCGCATAAAACGCCCGTGACAAAAGGCAGTTTGTCACAGTCAGGTAAGGTTTCATATACATTTTATTCAGCAATGAGAGTATACACGTAAAAGACGACATGGACTATAAGCACAAGCCTCAACATTAAAGTTATTACAAATTTGGGACTTGCCTAGATACACAATTGGGCGACCAAGTTTATCCCTGCCTTGCTTCTCTGCCCTTTAGGTGCCTGGGATGGCAGTGGTTGGGGTAATATCCAGTGTAACTGGGCAGAGGTTTGTTGCATGCATGTTCGCTGCACATATTGCACAAGCTGGAGTCCTTAGCCCAACGAAGTGTCTAAGGAACAGCTCTGTATCCAGTTGGCTCCAATACATCCTTACGTTGTACTAAGACAGAGCTGCTGATGAATGGTGGTAGTCTTAGAAAGACAAACCACCGTATTAGTTGCTCAGATCCACCAGCTTGTGCATTTACAGGTCTAGCTCCTCTCTTCTACCGAACGTAGCACATCCCTGTAAATCCCCAAAGTTTTTTGCTGAGTCTCGGGTCTCTAGCCTTCAGGGCCACTGAGATGTCCCCATATGAGTAGGAGCGATTCTCTATGACATCCTGGGAGGCAATCAGAAGCAAGACAAGATTAACGTCTTTGCCCTCCAGGATGTATTTTTTAAGATTCGCCAGTACCATATGGGCTGGGTTAATGATTTGTGACCCCAAACTGGTGAATGTAACATTACCGGGTTGAGACTGAGAGGAGCCCACAATTTCAGTTGTGAGAGGCTCTGGTGTTACAGCAGGAAAACTACGAGCTTCCAGTCTCTCCAGCCTATCATTAATCTGTCCCATGGAGGACACTAGCGAAGCAGTCATGGTATGAAGGTTGGCATTGCTTGTGCCACTCATGCCTTCCCCCGCATCTGTATTCTCAGTATGGGTTTGAATCAGCCTAAACAGTTCTGCTTTCCTGGCCGTAGCTGGGAAAGGGATGCTGTGTCTATGTAGTTCAGCCGTGAGGTGGGAGATAGTCCATGATCTTATGGATGATGGGCTACCGGTGTCGCCCTTGCGTGTGTGGGTAGCGGTCCTGGCTGGAGTACTGGGGATTGAGATATCATCACCGTCGTCTGGTACCTGGGACAGACTGAAATATATAGGAATCATGCGCTTAGGCCTGAGGACGTATACCTGCATTCTAGCTAGTGCCAAGAGGTGAAAAAATTCACTAGGTTGGAAATGAGTGTGTTCCTACTAGTTGCCAAGTGGCTTGAGAGGCACTACCTATAGTTTGGCGCAAGGCATATCCTGCGGGGTGTTGGCCCTTTCAGGGAACGTATTAATCAACTGGGGTGAGGTGGTGACAAGTGAGGCCCTTACTATGCAACAAGCGAGGTGGCTAGCTATGCTTTGGCCTGTGGGGCATATTACCTCTTGCGTGGAGGATGGGTGTTGGCCTCGCAGGACCACTATTTCAACGGCATAGAGTGCCTGGGCAAAATACCTAGATGGCTATTACGCAGCTGTCTATGGTTGGTTCCTTCTAAATTATAACCCTGAGTAATGTAGCGGGAGCAACGTACCTGTTGGTCAAGTGTATGCTTGAATCTGCCCCGCAGTAGTCTGAATTTCCTGCTAAAGAGGGAGGTCTAAACCAAGATGGTGAACAAAAGAATAAAAGGAAGGGGGTAAATATATATGTTTGTATGACATACCAAGACCTGCTGTAGTCTTTAAATCAATTACGGCCTACACACCTATGACCTTTAGATGACGTGACAACGTTGTCTTAGCTTAGAACCGTGTAATCTATGACTTTGACGAGCCAAACTTGTCTAAGCTTGGAGTCTTCAATCTGTAACACATGTCAAAATAAAGTTATAGTAGCTGTAGCTTCTGCTCAGTACAGTTTTGAACCTAGCGCACATTTATGCTCCCGATTAACTGAGTTTGCATTAATACACCTGAATTAAGAAACGCGTAACTGTTACATAATGCATGTACAATTGGTAGGAACAAACACTAGTGACCTCTGGTTACGATAGATACATGTGAATTGAAAGGGCCAGTTCGTGGATCTAATTAAATAAATTTATGACAGACCTACCTAACTAGTATAGATTCCCTAAACCTGAGCTCCCTGTAACCTGTAATTAAACATAGTATGAGTAATGCCTTTGATACAATTATCTTATAAACCAAACAGATAGAAGTGAAAACAGTAGTTCTAAATGATGAATCTAGTGGTATGATAAAAATAAACAAGGGGTATGTAAGTGGTCACTAAGCCCAGCAGCCCTGTGTTTGTGCTGGTGCCCGGTGGCCCTGTGTTTGTGCTGGTGCCCGGTGGCCCTGTGTTTGTGCTGGTGCCCGGCGGGTCCGTGTTTGTGCTGGTGGCCAGCGGCTCTGTGTTTGTGCTGCTGACCGGCGGCTCCATGTTTGTGCTGGTGCTCGGCGTCTCTGTGTTTGTGCTGGAGCCCGGCGGCTCCGTGTTTGTGCTGGTGCCCGGCGGCCCCGTGTTTGGTAACATCTGATACAGCATTATTAAAGTAATCTGAGCCCATATGTGGCCAATGACCTGGTACCTCGTTGAGGGTAGAAAACAGATTCAAGATAAAGACAGTAGGCCTGTGTAAAGCAAGAGAGTATACTAAACAGAGTAGCATTAAAGTAATCAGTGATGGAAGCCACCAGCAGGTGATTTAGAATAAGGAGCCTAACCTTGGTAATCAATGAAGATATACACCAAGTTGAGAATTTAGATAATGTACTATACCAAACTAGTGTTAGCGTCTCATTACTAGGGAAGTGTCCAAGACCTGGATTACCCTGAAAATAGAAACATATACAGGACACAGTATTCCTATATTAGAAATGGAATAGTAGTAACATAAGTGCAAAGAGCCTAGAACATACACATGTTAACCCGGGTGAAGCAGTATGGGAAATTTGCCTGCTGGTGATTTAGGTTAAGGAACCGAGACTTAGTAGTATGAGTATAGGAGTATTTCAGGTGAGCATTAGAGGTGTAATTTAGTGAAATCTTCCAATAGAAACCTGTTTATGTAAGTAATCATATAAGGAGAATGATGAGTGAAGTAGTGGATAGTGAAACTGAGGCCCCAAACGAATATGACAAGGACAATTCCTAGCATCAGGAATTTGTACATCATAAGAGAACAATGTCACAAGACATTCAAGCAGATCCCGAGGTGAGGTAGAATAGAATTGAGGGTGTGTGGGGCGTGGCCTGGACGAGCATGGTGCAGGACGCATAGTGCGAGAGCTCTGCACCCCTGGCCGGATAAATTAGCTAACAAAGCACGGTACGGAACGGCGATGGTGCGAACTAAGAAGCCCCTACCCTCGGGAGCAGCGGCGGCAAGCTCCCCTCACCGGAATACCGGTCCCATGGACGATTTTCTCTCTACTCCGTCCGACCTCTGCGGCACCCGCCATGTGGACAAGATGGCGCCCGGGTCCCCGGACTCGGAGATGACGGTGGACTCCCAGTCGGAACCCCCCAAACAGGGGACCTGTCTCAAATTAGAATGGAGTTTACACAGATCTCCAGGAGGATGCTCACCAAAGCTGATACAGGCCCCATTGTGCAAGAACTCAGAGCAGCACTGAGGGAAGAGCTGGCAGGCCTGCGCACAGATCTGTCCACCCTGGAGCAGAGAGTGGATGAAATGGAGTCGGTGGCGAGGGGCTGTGATGACCAGCACAGAGCAACAGAAGTGGCAGTCACTAGGCAAGGTAACATGCTCCTCACCCTCCGGAGACAAGTGGAGGATTTGGAGAATAGAAGCAGACGCAATAATATCCGCGTCCGCGGCTTGCCTGAAAGGGCAGACGAGCTGCTCCCAGACACCCTGTCAGCGCTGTTTACACAGCTCCTCGGAGCTGCACTGACCACTACGCTCATCGTGGACCGCGCTCACAGAGCCCTGGGGCCTGCGAGACAGGATGACAGCCCCAGAGACGTAGTCTGCTGCATCACCGCCCCAGGCCTACGAGATAGAATTATGGCTGCAGCCAGGGGCCTCCCATCCATACAGTTTCGAGGAACGGCGGTTTCATTGTACCAGGATCTCTCTAGCCTGACCCTAGATGCGAGGCGGGCATTGAGGCCGGTCACCAGTGCCCTGAGAGACAAGGGGATTCCTTACCGCTGGGGTTTCCCGTTCAGTCTTCAGGCTAAACATGGGAATACCTGGATCACGGCCTGCTGGCCTGAAGATGTCCCAAGGTTCCAGAGGGCCCTGGGTCTAGCACCATCGAGAATACGAAATTGGATCTTGGACGAAGCGGCTGCTTCACGAAGAGACCCACTGATGCCGCCGCTGGAGGCCGATGCAGCTACAGGTAGACAGCCCGAGCCGCGCAGGAGAGGTGGGCCGGACGGCCCAGAAGAATAGGACGCCATCACACAGGTCGGCTGGGGGTTTGGGGGGTTGTCTGTCTTTGCTGGGGAATGCATCACCGGACTGATATTTAGGGAGGGGGGTTTCTGGACTGGGGGATACTCAGACTGACTCACAGGTCCGTGACTTTTCATAGCCGCTGCACATGGTACGGACAGGCCCTGCCAATGCCGTGCGCACATGAAAATAACAGCCACCAAGGGACTCTGTGTTATCTGGGCGAATCACGCGGCCAGGGACTCCTGCTTACACATTGGCCGGGGCTTTACTCTGGGTCACTTCACACCGATGGACTATGCTGGATCTTTGGGAGGGGAGTGGGGTCATGGCGGGACTTATGGGTCTCCTTCCCTCGACCTAGTGTCCGGGGCCTTACCACCAAATCTCAAGCCTTGTGTTTTAATGTAGGATGTATTTTGGCCACGGCACTCACGCTTTGTCCACATAGCTGCACGATAGACCGGAGCCGAAGATTTGATCTGTCAGGGGCTAGGTGGGGACACAACTAGATGAGGGAGGTAGGGGATTAGGAGCACGGGTTAGTGAACCTGGGATGGCACATGTCCGAGGACAGCTCCCATGATAGGGGACCTTAGTCTGGCTGACACACACTCCTAGACCCTAGGTAACTGAGATAAGGGGGACCCAGGCCCAAACTAAGGTAGAAGATGACAATAGGGGCCTAAACGATCCAAATGGCTCCACCCTGACAGAGTTCAACACCCATGGCCGTTGCCCCGACTCTGCCAGCGTTTAGCCATACTGCCGCTGACCCGCGAAGAAGTGACCGCAGATCACCTGTGACCGACAGCGCACAGGCCCCCCCCCCTCCTCGCCAGGCCACTGGGGAGGACTGAAAGTCGAAGAGACCGGGATCACACACTGACCCTGGGCAGGCAGGGGTACCCTCCTACACTACAGCGCCACCAGCGACCCCAGAGGGGACGGGCCGCCCCACCCACCCCCGGCCGGACTTGAACGACCGCGTCTGACCCGAAATGACTGACTGAGACTGACAACCATCACGCCTACCGACCTGCCTACATGCCCTCGGCCAGGGGGGCAGACGACTAGTGGTTTTGATTCACACACACCTAACTGACACCCTCGGAGAGTACTGACTGCAACGAACTGACAAACCCAACCTCCATAGTTAGAGAACACTCACACTGGACACGTGAATTACATTGTGATCTAATCACTCAGACCGGGCGCTGTGCCGGTGCTCGCTTGGTCTAGTGCCCCGCGACAGACACCACATCTAAATTCGGTGGGAGACGGCAGTCCACCTCCTAGGAGTGGCCCGCGTGACTCATCCTCCCCCGGTGTCGAGTCTCTGAGACCCCTGAGAGGTCCATACTAGATCCTCTCCTTCTTTTCTACTCTCTCACCTGTTACCCCCCACCCCCCACACTTCATTGGTCTGGAACAATGGGATCGGGATTCACTCCTGCGCCTCTCCACATCTGGTCAAATAACACCAGGGGCCTCAACGCGCCGGAGCGGAGATCGCATCTCTTGCGCTCCCTGTGGAACGAAAAGGTATCCATAGCGTTCCTCCAGGAGACACACTTCCTGGGGGACAAGGGCCCATCGCTACGCGACTCACGATTCCCACTGGGTTACTTTGCAAATCACCCTACGACAAAAAGGGCAGGAGTGGCGATCTTACTGGCCCGCACAGTCCCGTTCGTCTGTACGGGGACTGAGTCGGACCCAATGGGACGCTTTATCTTCATCAAAGGCTCTATAGCAGAATGCGTATACACCTTTGCCTGTGTATATGCCCCGAACATACACCAACGCAAATTCCTCAGACAGACGCTGACCTGGCTGGAGAGGTTCCGCGAGGGCTTTCTAATAATGGCTGGGGACCTGAATGTCGCCCTGGAACCGGGAACGGACACATCCAGAGGAGTGAGCGCGTTTTCACCGCACGGCTTAAGGTCCATCAGAAATGGGCTACGGGACGCCGGCCTGGTGGACGCCTGGAGGGCGCTTCACCCCTGCGACACAGATTTTACTTATTACTCTACAGTCCACAAACGATATAGCAGACTAGATTATGTGTTCCTGGCCCAGGAGCTCTTACCCATGCTCCTTTCGGCAGACATACGCCCCATGGGATGGTCAGACCACTCACCGGTATCTGTACGAATTCGATCCCCACTGTTCCGCCCGACTGGGCGTCAGTGGCGCATGAACGAATCCATCCTTACCGACGTGCCTATTGCCGCAGACATCCGTACAGCTCTCACAAACTTCTTCGAAGAAAATGACTCCCCGGACATCCCGGCACTTTCGATTTGGGAAACGCATAAGTGCGTCATTCGGGGACTGCTCATTAAAATATGCTCACACCGGAGCAGGACACAGAAGCAGCGTATAAAGGATCTAACCGCACAAATCACACAACTGGAAAATGACCACAAGACCACCCAGACGGCCGATAACTATAGAGCCCTCCTGAACGCCAGGAAGTCCCTACGGGATATTCTTCACGGGAAGCTACAGTACACCATCCGTAAATCTCAACGCTTCTTCTATGAGTACTCCAACAAGTGAGGCCGTCTTCTTGCCCGGACGCTTCAGAAGAGGCGCCGACTGTGCCACATCACGAAGATCAAGACTAGAGACCAGTCGACCACACAGCTACCGGATAGAATAATGGGCGCATTTCGCGGATTCTACGAAGAGCTTTATAACCTACCCACAGACCGCTCCGACGATGCCCACCGCCGCAGAGACACAGAGATAGAAGCATACCTCCAAAATCACGTTATAAACACTTTAAGCCGCGAACAGGCGGAGGAACTGGATGCCCCTCTTACCTTGGAAGAACTCCAATTAGCGCTGAAGGGCGCCAAACTGAACAAGGCCCCGGGCCCGGACGGCTTCCCGGCAAGATATCTCAAGGAATTCGGTGATGTCCTGCTACCTAAATTGCTCACGGGCCTTAATTCCCTCCTGGACGGCGAGGCCCTCCCACGGGACCTCCTAACGGCCACTATCACCGTTATCCTTAAGGAGGGAAAGGACCCGTCCAGCTGTGCGAGCTACAGGCCGATATCCCTCCTAAATGCTGACCTAAAGCTCTTCACGAAGGTCATCGCCACGCGCATTGGCAGGATCCTACCAGAGCTGGTACACCCAGACCAGGTCGGATTCATCCCGAGAAGAGAAGCTAGGGACAACACTATACAGGCCCTGAATGTCATCCAGGCGGCACGGCAGTCCTCGCAAAAGATCCTACTCCTCTCTACAGATGCGGAGAAGGCCTTCGACAGGGTCGACTGGCGCTTCATGAAGGCAACGTTGAGGGCCATGGGTTTCGGGCCGCAAATGTTGGCGTGGATCTCCTCCCTGTACGTGGACCCGACTGCACGTATCCGGATCAATGGCGCACTATCGGAGCCTATCCGGATTCGAAACGGAACACGACAAGGCTGCCCGCTTTCCCCCCTTCTGTTTGCCCTCTCCCGGGAGCCATTCCTGGGGGCGGTCGGGCGGGACGGGGGAATTGGGGGACTCAATGTCTACGGGCAGACGCATAAGGTAGCGGCCTATGCCGACGACATGCTGTTTTTCGTTGCCGATCCATTGGTGTCCTTGCCGAACTTGCTGAAGGCCTTTGCGGAATACGGTAGGGTGTCTAATATGAAGCTGAACACGGATAAGTCAGAGGCACTCCCCATCACCATTAACAAGGAGCTGATCGAACACTTGAAGACCCAATTCACCTTCACGTGGTGCTGTCATAAAATTAAATACCTGGGAATATGGCTCTCGGCGGACTTAACCCAACTTTACACTCACAACTTTGCCCCGATGCTTCACACTCTGAAAACAGACTTGACACGCTGGGGGAGCCTCTGTGTGTCCTGGTTCGGAAGAATAAATGCTATAAATGCTAAAGATGAACCTCTTGCCCAGCCTCCTTTACCTATTCCAAACCATCCCCATTAACCCGCCTATCTCCTTCTTTAGATCCGTCGAGGCAGCCATCACACAGTTTATATGGTGCTCTAATACCCCCAGATTGAAGAAAATCCACCTGCACCAACCGAAAGACCGGGGTGGAACCGGCCTCCCCTCTATAAGGGACTACCACAGGGCGACACACCTGCTCAGAGTAGTGGACTGGCACGTCCCCAGGACCGACAAGGCCTGGATCAACCTGGAACGGGCACAATTGGGAGGCACCCT